GCAACAAATTGATGCTTCAAGTAAAGATTTAGACACACAAGTCTCTTAGACAGAGGGACGTCCCTCAGATATTTCTGTGATGAGCACAGTTTTTGATGCTTTTGCCTCCTTCACAAGGGCCACACACTTTTTAGTATTTTATTGTATAGATTGTTATCAACTGCCATATTTTTAAAATATACTTATCCAGTAAAAAAAAAAATACTTCCTGTAAAAGCAACCTTGGTGATATTTTGGTTGGGATGAGCCAAGGTAGGATTCATTGGCTCGTTGGAATGAAGAAATGTGCAGATGTTTGGGGGGGTGCGGTAATATTGTTTTCACAAGACATTGGAGCCTGGCCAGGATGATTCTGAGGTAATGCTTGAGAACACTTCACAGGGAGGTAAACCAGCACAGCCTTTATCAGAAGCTGTTTTTCTACTGCTTATCCAGAGTCTTTAAAAGGTACAGACTTTTGATCCAGCAGTTCCTGAGCTGCAGGGTGAAGGGTCTTCAGAAAGATGTTTATTCTTCTGTTTTTCTTAATAGCAAAAATCTGGGAAGAGCCTTTAATGTCTAGTGACTTGGGACTTGTTAAGTAAATGCTCCAAATTACAGATTATTATATGGCCATTTATAGTTATATTAGTGAAAAAATAACACATGGAAGTATTTGTAATGCAGCATTAAGGGAGAATGCAAGATGCAAATATTTCTACACTATATGAGTTCAGCCATGGAAAATTCTACATATAATCCACACATGCGCACCATATAAATGCACATGCATAGATGCACACACAGATGCATACATACATGCACATAGTTATGTTCAGATGCACGCAAATGAACATGCACATACATGTATACACGCACACTCACAAAATGCAAGAAAAGATTCCAGAACACTAATACTATCTTATAATCAGTACATTTATGAATAATTACCTTTCTCTCTTTGTATTGTCTTTATCAATAATCCATTGCTTAGAACCAAATATATCTTCATAACTTGATCAAAGTCATTCATTAATTCATATATTAACATTTCTTATTTTGTCAAGTACAGTGTGCATGTGCCTAGGTGTATATACTAGATATACTAATATTAGTATATCTTGTAAAAATGAATATATTAATATATTGATATACTTAATAATGAAAATAAGGTCAAAGGTGATGGGACTTTGTTGACTGATGATTTTTGGTTTTCATTGTTGCAGTACTGGTGAGTGAGGTAACTATTTGGTCAAGCATAGTCCTTCACTAAGATATACTCTATACCTGTTATCTCTGAGCATGGTCCGATAGCTCAATAATGTACAGATTTCTATAATGATACAGAGATTTATTTCTGAACAGGATAACCAAAAGCTAACCTCAGAATGACTCATCCTGCTCTAATATACTGGATATTTCTATTTTTAAGTGTAGCTAATGAGTATATTTGTTTACATGACCATGAGCACCTATCATGATTCATTCTCTCTGCTTGGCTTGGCTTGATCCTTTCATCTCCTGTATCTTTCTTCAGGCCTCTAAGTTTTCATTTTATATATTCTCTCTCTCTCTCTCTCTCTCTCTCTCTCTCTCTCTCTCTCTCTCTCTCTCTGTAATTTAAAACTCACTATGTAGCCCAGGACAGCTTTGAACTCACCACTCGTCTGCCACAGTGTTCTGAGTCCTGAGATTACAGGCCTGAGTAACCGTGTCCAGTAGGCTTTACTTTTTAAGTTGAGATTAAGATTATATGCAATTCAGTGAATTTGAGTGTTTTCTCAAAGTTACACAACTATCACCACATGTAACTTGAGAACATTCTTATCATTCCTGGGATGAACCTCCTCCCCATTAGTGTTCATTCTCCAGTCTCCCTCTCCAGACCCTGGCAACCACTGATCTACTTTCTGTCCTTACGAATTGTTTGAGCCTTTTCCTCAGACAAATTCTTTTGAGCCTTTGGGGAACATTTATTTAGTCAGACAACTTACATCACAGCCATTAAAATAAATTTCAAATGGGTCAGCCATGTCAACCTAACAGATGCTTCCAGTGCATTAAACAATGGGTTAATTTCTTTGGTACCAGACTGTGAAAAAAGCCTTCCTACTTACAATACAAATTCAATAAAGGAAAGGTTTATTATTTTTTAACTGAATGAAAACACCATAAACAAAGATGAAGACAAAGGAAGACTACACAAAAAATATTTGTAGTGTGAATTACTGGAAAATACATAATCCCCTGCCCCAAAGTCTTTAGAACCTTTGAAAATCAATGAATAAAAGCCCACACACAGACACACAAATTTAGAACAATGGGCAAAAGTCATGAAAAATGCTTTCAGAGAAGATAAACAAATGCCCCTCGATACAGAAGATGATGCTCCACTTCCTTCATAATAAGATAAATTCAAATGCAAATCCCACTGGGATGCTGGTTCTAAGTCATCAGATGGCTGATATTCAAAAGCTTGAGTCTGAAGAAGAGGCACACAGGGCTGGTTAGCATGCAAGTTACACAGCACCTATAGAGGGAGAGTTGGCAAAACCAACAAAACCACATGTCCGTTTGCTTAACAAACAAATAGTATACATACCATGAGAGTCTCCACTTCAGTGTTCCTGATAATAGCAAAATGTTGCTTACAATCCAATTCATAGGATATGAATTTGCTAAACTAGGTCATCCAGGCAGGAGGAAAACCACAATTGCATAATATTAAGGCTGTCCTCAAGAAGTGACCACTCAACTATAGTTCCAGGGTATAGTCATTCAAAGACACTGTCAGGGAAACACATGAAGCATATGCTAAAACTAATGGAAAGGACTACTATAGTAAGTCTATGAGGATGAAATGGGGGAGTGTGTGTGTGTGTGTGTGTGTGTGCGTGTGCACATGTGTGTGTGTACACACAACCACAGACATACCCACACAGGCATGCACACAGCACAAGCACACTCAAGCACACTAACATGGAGGCCACAGGTCACCCATGGGTGTCAGTCCTCAGGAGCCATCTACCTTGAGTTTTTGAGGCAAGGTCTCTCACTAGGAGTTGGAGTTTGCTAATTAGACTCAGTTCTTGGCCAGTGAGCCTTGTCTGCCTCACAAGTGCTGGGATTGCAAGTGTACCCCACAGTGCCAAGTCTTTACATAGGTCCTGGGAACCAATTTCGATCCTCATGGCTTACATGCAACCATTATGCCAACTGAGATAGCTCCTAAGCGTGAGGCTTTTAAAAATACATACTTTTGATTTGTGAAGTATAAATATTTTAATACAAATAAAACACATTAAACTGAGTCTAGTTAAAAATTTAAAACAGAATCAAACGTACCAACTATATATCAAGGCACTAGTGCAAGTGCACAGTAGTCAGATAGCTTTTGCATAAAGTACTGTATGAGGGAAATCATTATGGGAAAGTTTTATTTAATAATGGCATATTAAATTACATATTCTCACAGCCTATAGGACATGTTAGCAGGTGCCATCTTAAGTACTCAAATGGTTTTATGAAATAAAATACATAAAATAGAAACATTCCCATTGTAGCTATTTCTAAAGAATTAATAGTTTGGGGCTGGAAAGATGGCTCAGTGGTTAAAAACACTGGCTGTTCTTCCAGAGGACCCAGGTTCAACTCCCAGCACCCATATGGCAGCTCACCACTATCTGTAACTCCAGTTCCAAGTAGTCCAATACCCTCACTTACACAAATGTAGGCAAAATACCAATGCATGAAAGTTAAACATAAATGAATTTAAAAAGAATTAATAGTTCAGTACCATTAAGTGCACTCACTGGTGCTGGGATTGCAAGCGTTACACAAGTGTTTACAAGTGTTACACAACCACTGCCAGTAGCATCATCATTTCGCCCTGAAGCCCTGTGCCTGTTGCATATAATACTGCACCATACTTCAGCATCAGAACAATGCAGCCAGCATGTGTACCGGGGAAGTGTCATGGGAAGTCCCCATCTGCCCTGGAGTATCCCTGCCAACGTGATTAGTGGGATTCTAATGAGGAAACCATCAGACAAGGCGTAGATTTAGGATATCCTCCAAAGCTTGGCTTAGTTTCCAAAGATATTAATGGCATGAGGGGTTTTAAATAAACAAAATGCAAAGTAAGATATGAAAGAGATGCTGTCAGAGTCTTCAGAGTCCAGCTTAAAAAGGAAAATATCCTACAAATCCTATTTGGAAGACAATTGAAGAAAGTGCCATCCGCACTGTATATTACACAAAATTATAACAATGTTCATTATCTGCACTGTATATTACACAAAATTATAACAATGTTCATTTTCTTTGGTAAGAGAAGGAGATGCATTTCTGTTTGAGAATATTTTGTCCTGAAGGGAAACACAAATACAGATAAAATGCCACAATATCTAATCTATTTTAAACAATTCTTCCAATAACTAACTAGACCCTTTGTATCTGTACAAACACAGAAAGGGAAGTGTGAAATAAAAAGTCAGAGAAAATACTGCAAAACAAAATGAGAAAATGAAAATGTTATATAAAAGAAAGGATTGCAAGTCACTACAGAGATATTTTTAATAAATACTGTCATCTTTGGCTTTTAATTCATGCTTTTTCTCATTTTACCCATCCATGTTTTAAGTTAGGTCACCTCACTACACAAATCTTTCCCTGGCTGCTCTGTCTCATTTGGTTTGTGTGAGGTAATTTTCATAAGTCTCCCGAGTTGTATTTTATGAAATTTGATTGTATTGTTCAGTTAGAGCCAGAAGGTTTTAGGTTCTTGAGGCAAAATAGATTTTTCAGAAGCATTTCTAATAGGCTTCTCTTTCTGCAGACATGGCATTGCTACAGTTTCAGATAGTGAGTTATCTCTGTAACTGTCATTTTTTATGCTGTAGAGCAGAGATGCATACTGGGTAAAAAGGAAATCAATAGCTGGTGTTCCCAGGTGACGGGCAGGATGTGGTCCTCAAATCTACCCGAAGCCCTGCTTGATGCTGTGTTAAAATCTCTTTCAGGAGGTGAAATCGACTGTGTCGATAAGGATGGCAACACGCCTCTCCATGTGGCTGCAAGATATGGTCACGAGCTTCTGATTAACACCCTAATAACTAGCGGAGCCGACACAGCCAAGTAGGTCACTGGGAAATGCTGAGGCCTAACTGCCACGTGTGGGAGCGCTGGCAAGGGAGGCTGTTACACAGTGCAGGATGCCCATTTATCCAGGGTATGGTGGATCTGTGCCATTATGCTAAGCACAGATTAAATCTGAAATCAAGGAAGGCACTTTAATGACAGCCCAGGAGGTACCAGTTGGTTTTAGCTGCATAGAACCAGGTCTATTCTGCTAGATTTCTCTGAGGAAATGTTGGACTTCTTTTTCTTTAGCTTTGTCTTCTAGTGTCTCTTCATTGTTTCAGCATCCACTGTCCAAGAGGAAAGATGACCGGGCAAATTCAAATTTACTCAGAGTTTTTGTTCAGTTTTAAAAATAGAGTTATAGTATACAGTCAAGTCCATGTGCCACATGGGAAGCGTGAGGCTGTTAATTCTACACAAATGTTGAAAGTATCTCTCTGGGTATGGGGCTGAGTTCTTAGGAGGATTCATTATATACTTGCCAATCACTAAGTAGTTAGAAAAGAGCAAAGCCAGGACTCAGAGCTTCTGACTCTGTCTCCTTAAACACAGTGTTCTTTACTGCAGAGGGTTAAGAGAAGTTCTACAGTACACTAGGTATATGAAGGAGAAAACATGTCCACTGATACAAGAGAAAATTAAAAAGACCCCACTATTCTTCTAGTACAAAAGCCCCTTCACCTCCGATAGCACACCACAGGAAAATCTTTCAGACCTCATTTATTTTGGAATAGCTGAGTTGGAGCTGCTGGTTAACTGCTAAATTAGAAATAGCTAGATACAAATGGCTTCCATTAATTTTATGACTTGCCAAATAAATGCAGCAATTTAACTGGAATTGGTCTCCTTCTTTTCTATAACTTATACATTGTTAACTTTAGGGTGATTTGGCATTTTTAGTCCCAGTGCTCTTCAATGTGTGCCTGAAGTGAAGACCGAGGCTTCTCACTTAACTATGGCAGCCATGCCCAGATTTTTCTACTAAAGATTTCAAAATTGTTCCTCTACTAGCAGTCTTATTATACAATAAAGAACATTTTTCGCAAATGTTAAAATCATTCTATGTTATTCAGAGACTCTGAATTCTGCCCTTCTTCCTTGATGTACAGTTTGACTTATGAATCAGTGTCATATTCAAGTTCAAATGCCAATAATAATGGCACCCATACAGATACCATCAAACTCTGCACTGAAATGACTACTTACTAAGTGCAGAATAAGATATAATGTAACAAACAGAATTTTTGCTAGAAAGTCTAAATCAGAGTAATTTTATCTTTTATCTTTCTAAGTATCAGTGACAAAGGAAATAATTAGTTAATGTAGATTGTGATGAATTACTGAAAGTGGAAAGATTGATTAAAAGTATTGTTAATAGGTTATAAAATATACTATGCAATTATTACACTATTGCTTTCTGTTTTATCTAGTTTCTTATAGATGATATTGATATTTCTCTAATTCATACTTGCTCTGTTCTATATAAAATACATTTTTTCATAAACATATATTGTTTATATACACACATGTATATATATGTATACTATATACATATATAATTATAAAATATATGCTATGTGTATAAACATGTATGTGTATATATACTACCGCTTTATAAATATATTGATCATTTGTATGTATATACATATATATTATTTGCCTTTATAAAATATGTTGCATATCTCTACATGTATGTATGTATATGTGAATGTATATATGTAAAAATGAGGTTCATTCAAGGCATCATGAGAAATGCAGTCTTGACTCAGACACATTCCTTTAGAAACTTAAAAATGTCATAGATAATAATCTATACATTTAAAAACTTCTGTACATTCTTCATATCCTCTTTCAAAAGTCCAGAAATATTTTTAATCATTTATTTTTGCTTAACCTCCCCCAAACAAATCAACTTATTGTATGATAATAGCATTAGCTTCTAAGTTTCCTATAGTTAGATTTAGAATATATCATACTTTAAAAAAAAGTAGTATGTTTTATTAAACCAAGTAGGAATGAAATAAATAGTCACATAAATAAGAACCTTTCCTCCCGTGCTTTGACTCCTTTCCATGGGCATCCAGATCAGCATTGATGTGACTGCCTTTTAGAATCTTGTAATGGGGGTGGGTAAGTGATGGGAGAGGCAATAACAGGCAGCTCTCCTGCACATGATGTTGCCTGGAAGACTGGAAAGTTACATCTCTTTATGGATGCCAGCTTTTGCATACACTGGCCTGGAAATCTCCATATATGGGAAGGAAAACTAACAGAAAATGGAAGAAAACACCAACAGAGGCCAACAAGGAAAGAGAAAGAGGCTTGTTCATGATGCTTGGCCTTTTGCAAAACACTGAAGACTGAATTATCTGTGGTGATGTGTTTACACACATTCACACACATACCAAGTAATAACTCGGGATAGAAAATAAGTTATTTATAACCAAAGCTTAACAAATTCAGATCTATGATTCCTTTATGAAGCATGACATCTAAGAATACATCTGGGTAGTTAATGCTGCAGGGCTTGTGCAGAAGACTTACAAATCTAAAATGTATCATTTGGTTAAAATGAGTTGCTACATGAAATGGTTATGGATACGTAGCAGCCCCAGACAAAACTGTTGGTTTTGAAGCAAGTGCAGCCTATGGCTTATGCACAGAGAGGTGGAGAGGGATGCTCAGAGGATCATTAACTAAAGGCAGGAACTGCCTGCCTTTCCAGGATCGTCCCGAGGAGGGGCTCCTATGTCAGGCTTAAATCCTTTTCTAGATTCTTTTTGCAATAACTTTTAGGGAAAGCATGCTAGGTTTCTGAACTATGTGCTCAGTGATGTTTATTGCTCCTCTGTTTTGTGACTGGCATAGTGACGTGGGTTAGTGTACATCAGCATAGTTCATTAGGAAGATGAACTTTTGTCTTGCAAAAGGTAAACAGTTACTTTTATCAACATTTTATTCTTAATAATACAACCACTATTAGCTCTTAAAAGAACATGGACACATATTAGATTGATAGTAAATATTTATTGAATCAAGGAATAAAATAGGTTGCTTTCCCCGCTTGAGAGTTATCTTACTCAGCATTGTTAGCTCTGGCAGTAAGCATCCTATCTTAGGCTCACAGTGTTGAACAGAGAGATAAATGACTAAGAGAATAGTTGAATGAATGAATGAACAAGCAAATGAGATTTTCAACAACTAAGCTGAAAGAAACAATAGGGTAATGTTTAATTCTTCATGTGAAACAGGTTGTTTTTTTTCAAATATGTGTGTATACATACATATGTCCACAATACATATGTACATATAGACATATGCACACATCCATATGGCTATGGGCTTTTAATTGGTTTAGAGCCAAGGTCATCTTATTTTAAGGTAGAAAATGGTTGTGTAATTATTTATTGAATGGAAAAATGACAAAATGACTTCAGGGATCCTTATGGGAATTTTCAACAGAGGACTTTCGAAGGAGTACTTATTCTTGGGACCTTTACTGTGGATGGTTGTTGTTCTCCTTAGGTGTGGAATCCATAGCATGTTCCCCCTACATTTAGCTGCTCTAAATGCTCACTCTGACTGCTGCAGGAAGTTGTTATCATCTGGTAAGTGAATCTGCCAGCGATCAGGCCTGGTGTGTCCTGTCCGTGAGCCAAATGGCTTTAGGTGTCTGGTCTCAGTAGCTGGCTGCATACGGCCGTTGCTGTACCTTGGCAGAGTGAGGTGGTTCCATACCTCCTGGCACTCCTTGATGTCAAAATTGTTCGGATGCCAGTGTTGCTACCTAGAATGAGAGTCTTGTCCGATTTTTAGTTGTTCAGAATTGGGTGTGGGTAATGGCCGGAGTTTACATTTGGGAATCTTAAGTCACAGAAGAAGAAAAAAATCTTTAAGGCTTAAATTGGTGACTTAACATTTAATACTTTTCAACAAAAGAAAATGGCTGCTCTTCCAACATTTCAGTCACAGAAAATATCATGTTATCATCCAGCTCCATGGGCATGGAAACATCTTCAAGGCAGATCCCCTTTTAAGAAGGTTTACTTTTTTATATTTTTCATGCGGAGCTGTCTGGAACCAGCCTGTTTTGGAGCTTTGCTGATCTTTCTTATCCCTGCTTCTGCCAATCTCAATATATTAAGAAGTTCCCGGGCTTTCCAAAGTGGTGGGAGCCTGCAGGGTGAAGATTGTTTATGAATTAATTCATTAGCTATCCCAGAGGCGTATTTCTTCCTCTAAGTACTTTGCCTATGGTGGATTCTGGTCTCATTGCTTTTGGCAAGCTTAAAAATAATCCCTGCATGAAAGTGTTTCCCACATCTTAGACCCACGGGAAGGTTGGGGTGCACTTAAGGAACTGTCTAGTCCTGCCTGTTAGGGTTGTTCCCCTACCTTCCGTCTTTCTGACATGTCTGTCTGCCTGTCCACTGCCCTACTTATCTCAAATTAGTTTCATAAATTTCTGTCCTGGGATTGAAAAATGGGGCCATGGTTCACCAAGGGCTGAATGCAAAAAAATAAATCCTCCTTGATTTCATGGTGCTTCCTATAAAATTGCCAAGCCTGAGCAGTTACTATTTGTTTCCATGACAGCCTCTTTCTGACTACAATTGCTTGCCTTCTGGTTTTCCTACTAACTGATTTTTCTGTCTCTGCGGTGTTTCTTGTGGTTTAACTAGGACAAAAGTATAGCATAGTGTCCTTGTTTAGTAATGAGCACGTGCTGTCTGCAGGCTTTGAAATAGACACCCCAGATACGTTTGGAAGAACATGCCTCCACGCCGCTGCTGCAGGAGGGTGAGTACTTCTGAGTGGCAATGATTTCATGACTTGATGACTTCATATGTCTTAATTGACATGAATTGGCTGTGAACCAAAGGCAATTTCCTTGGTAAATGGGGTCACAATCACTTTACCAGATATCAAGTGTCACTAGCTCCATTTCCACATCACTCAGATTTTGTGCTTCTAAAGAAAAATGAACAGTCCATCCTGTGTAACTCATGGGCCTTGTGTCCTTATCTACCCCACCTCGCACCCATCCCACCCCAGCTGTGAGATGAGATGTCAGGCTACACAACATGGGTATCTACTTGGCGTCTTTTCTACCAAAAGAAATTAATTTGAACTTTGTTCTCAAGTTTTCCCGTCTGTTGCCAGTTGATAGGTGGTGATCAAGAGGATAAAGGGTTGAATCCATTTATGCTCATTTATAGATATTTAGTAACAAAAATGAGCTTTGACATTATAGAATGATTAAAGGTGAACAAAAGCCAGGGAAATCCTAAAGAAAAATAATAAAATATAAAATATAAATAAAATAAAAGAGTGATTTAATCCTTGCATTTTTCCCTTGTAGCAAAGAGCTTTGTTTCATCAGTCTTTTTCTTTTGCATATCAATGGCTAGATGAAAGCTCTGATCAATATATTATTGATATATGACCACATATTGATCAGGCATAGTGTCTCTTAGATGACCTTGTATTGGGAAGGTGTTGGTTTTAAAATCGGTTTCCTAGTACTAAAGGAATTAGTTCTCCATTTATCATGTGTGTTACCAAAGACATCACCTATTTATCAGAGATGAATGAACCATGAAATGATAAAATCCTAATTTCCGTGGATAACTTCTGGAGTCATAAACTAAGTCTTACATGGAGTTACATGGAGTTACTGTATTTTGCTGAAGTGAACACAAATTACTGTATTTTTAAAAAGAAGCCCCTTTCCCTAACCCCAGTCCTCAAACTAAATGAGAGTCACAAACCACACAGGTTGAATCCACCTATATCTTTGCCCCCTTTCCATCCACCATTCAGTAAGAAATAGGTGCTGTACCAATTCATATGTGCCTTTTAAAACTCCATGTATTTTGTGGCTCTTACATCTCGTTCTCTGAGAAGAGAGGCTATGAAGGGCAGATGTAGAAAGGGGAGAGCCCTGCTCAGGCTTGTCACTAATAGGATCATTTTTCTTATTTAAATTATAATAAAACAATATGTTCCAGGCCACTTCTTAGCATTTAAGGTTTAGAATGATGATAGATGGTTATGCCTAATATGAGGCCTGCCCAGAAAGTGGCAACACACCGTGCTCGGCTTATATCTGAAATGCTGATTAGAATGAATATTAGCTACATGCCCTTTAACAGGAAAATTCACTTCGATGGGTTCTTTCTTCTCTGTTGTGGGTGATTTATTGCTTTTGTGAATGACAAAGCTTCTTTGAATGATCACTGGGCTCCAATCTGCTCCATCATTTTCAGTGTTGGTCCAGGGCATTTATTCACCTGGGTTACAAAGACAGGGAAATGCAGCTGTCTCTTTTCCATTAAGGAGTATTGAGTTGAAATGGTTACTTGTGGGGATTTATTATGCTGTGATAAAAGGTAGTGCTCAGCCACTTTGCCTCATTGTTTAAAGGTGACACGGAGTTATTAGAGGCTGAAGTGGTTTCATAAACTCCTGATGGTTTTGAAAAAGAATTTTAGGATAAACGGTGAGGCTATCACCAGAGGGCTTAATCATGTAGCAGTCATTACAGTCCTTAGTCACTGGGTTGAAAACGTCCCATGAAGCCCTTGCACTTACTGATTTATTAGTTTTGAGAAAGGAAATGTAGGTTCTTACAATGCAGCATTCCTGGAATGCAACCAGGTTATTTCTTATTAGCAGAATTTTGGATCTGAGGTTCCCATTTCATCTCATCCCATAGTCTGTGGAGAACAGGTCTTTCTGAAAGTATCTTAGTAATTAACCCCGACCTTACTAATTATGTTTTCCCTGTCTTTCTAGCAATGTCGAATGTATAAAGCTCTTGCAGAGCAGCGGAGCAGATTTTCACAAAAAGGACAAATGTGGGAGGTATGTACTCAGGGCTGACCTCCCTCGAGGACCTAGAAATGAGTAGGGAGACGAGTAGAGGGTCCATGGAGAAGTCCTATTCTCATCATCATTCAGATGGTCACCGTGGGACAACTGGGGTGCCTCCATCCTCAGAAGGCAATCCTTCCTTGTAGGGAAACACCAACTAAGCTGACAGGAAACACAAGTTAAGGCCTCTCTCAGCTTCAGCTTTTTTTTTTTTTTAAATTGCCTACCGGGATATATTTTAGAAAAACAGCAGAATAGACCAGCTTAGCGCACCAAATTTGAAATATGTGCTGGAGATAGCTCAGCAGTTAAGAGTGTGTGCTGTTCTTACAGAGGACTGGAGTTCAGCTCTAGCTATCCAAGTCTGGTAGCTCACAACCGCCTGTAACTCTAGCTCCAGAAGTCTCGTGATGCCTTCTGGGACTTCCCCAACTCCCCAGATACACAGAGACAGACACAGAGACATACATACAGACACAGACACACAAATAAAATTAAAAAGTTAAAATGTAGTCAAAAGAGCTACAGAATTTCTTTTCTGTATTGGGCATTTCATCTTAAGATGAATTTGTAGTCATTTGCAATATTAAATAAACACAAACCACCACTGGAACAGAACTTTTTACTTTCATAACCCCTTGTGCAGTCAAAGTGTCATGATGCCAGCTGGTTTGTGGGGACACACACACACACACACACACACACACACACACACACACACACAGAGTCAGTCATGTACCAAGTAACAACTTTTCACTCAATACTTGATCACATACACCATAGTGGTCCCATATATCTTAAGTACGTATTAGGCCTTACCATCTAGTTTTTATTCATACAATGACAAACCCACCTAATGCTACACTTCCTAAAACTCATCCTGCTTGAGATACGTGACCGTATGGATGCATACACATGTGACACAAGACTGTATGTAGGTATGTCTATCTCTCTCTCTAGCAATTCCTTCTAAGCCCTTACCATTTGTCCCCTAGCTCTTTGACATTGACTCCTAGCAGCAGATAAAATGAAACTTCTCTGTCATTCTTATGAGACTGTCCCTCCTCTATGTCCCCTACCATCCTGAATACTCTATAACCTCACCTTACTAGTGGGATCTTTTCTCATCTGACTGTAAGTCTCCTGAAAACAAAAACTGTCATTTTTTCTTTTCCATTACCTTCCCTCCCCCCACCTCTTCTCCTCTCTTCTTCTCTTGTTTTGTCCCCACTTCGTGTGTGTGTGTGTGTGTGTGTGTGTGTGTACGTGCACACGTGTGTGTATTGCTGTGAATCAAAGCCACAGTATTGCACATACTAGGCAAGCCCTCTACTACTGAGTTACATCCATAGACTGTTTAGTTTTGAGACAGGGTCTTGCTCTGTAACGTAAACTGGCCTTGAACTCAGAACTCACAATTCTTCTGCTTCAGCCTCCCCAGTGTTGGAGTCACAGGCAAGTGTCCCTGCATCTAGCTTCCTCTTTGTCCTTAAGCTTCATCGGAGCTGTTGATGCCTAGCCATTTTCAGTCCAATTAGTCAAAAGCAATCAAATATATAAAATTTATAATTGTAATTCTTCCTTTTGGACTGAAGAGAAAAATTAACCAGTAAAAGAACCCTAAAACTGTCTACAAAATGAAAAAATACTTGAAAACTAATAAATAGTTCCTGAGCTAAAGTTACTTTATTTTAGTGTTCTATTTGGCTATTATTCTGAGGATATTGGCTGGTCACACCAGAAAAAAAACCTGTCAATAATTGAAACTAAAAATAAGTAATATAAATTGTTTCCTATTTCTCATGCAAAGAACTAGCTTCTCGAACAGAAAGGGTGAATGTGGCTTAATAGGAGAGAAGGGAGACGCACGTGAGTGAAGGTGAGCTGTGAACGTGATCTAGGACCCTTGTCATCCAGTTTGCATTCATTAGTGGGTTCATAATGTGCATAGGTATGAGAGACGCTCTGTAGAAGAAACTGAGACAGCTCAGGGAAGCCTTCAGTTCTAAGCTGAGAAATCCAGCCTTTGCCAATGAGGGAAAGACTCATGATTTTAGAACGGGATTGTCAAAGGTGAAGATTGGTCCTTTGAAAACTCAACCAGAAACTAAAAGAAGCTTTATAAGAGTTAAGAATGGTCTGTAAAACAATTCCTTAGCATACTCTAATTAATGCGAAATGATGGATTTCATTGTAACATTTTCATATATACACACAGTACATACTTTATATTTACACACTCCATTGCCCTCTCTTATCCCCCACCTCTCATACACCCCGCCCCTACTTTCCCCAGTAGTCTCTAAGGATGATCTTAATGAACATGGTCTGGATGCTTGGTTGGTTTTTAGGTTTTTGGTTTTTGGGGTTTTTGTTGTTGTTGTTGTTGTTGTTGTTGTTGTTGTTGTTTTTCGAGATAGGGTTTCTCTGTGTAGCCCTGGCTATCCTGGAACTCACTCTGTACACCAGGCTGGCCTCGAACTCAGAAATCCTCATGCCTCTGCCTCCCAAGTGCTGGGATTAAAGGCGTGCGCCACCGCTGCCCAGCTCTGGATGGTTCTTCATGGGGCAATCTTGCCATGGGGAAGAAATAGCATAGCTCTGACCCAAGGTAGGCACTAGGAATAGAGCGGACAGTGCCACTAAGGCTGGCCTTGCCAGAGCCACATGTCTTTGCAAACTCAGCTTTGCTTTCCGCAGCCTCCACACACTGAAAGTGGAAGCAAAATGACTTTGGCCAGTGCTTCTGTTAGAGATGAGTCTATTTCCTAGACTTGAGTAAAGTAAAATAGTAATAATGATAACTGTCACTGTTTGTTTTTTAGGACCCCTTTGCACTATGCCGCTGCAAATTGTCATTTCCACTGTATTAAAGCATTAGTGACCACTGGAGCCAACGTTAATGAAACAGATGACTGGGGACGGACAGCTCTGCACTATGCTGCTGCATCAGACATGGATAGAAAGTAAAAATAACCTTGTTTGTGCTTCATCTTGGGTAGAGCTGGGTGTGTGTGTGTGTGTGTGTTATATTTTCTTCACACTGCTTCCTAGAAACTGCACATGAGGACTCTCTCATTCAGAGTGGAGGGTCATCCGTACCCCAGGTTTCCCGGTTCTGTCTCTAGGTTTGATTATTACACACCATTGTATAATTTCCTTCTTCTCTGCTCTTGGGTTCAATGCCAAGTAGAGCTGTCAAGCCCAGGCTTTCCAGTTCTTTGGAAATCTGTTGTAATTTCTCTGACATACACAGTAGTTTCCACCATTATCACATAAATGTTTCATCTGCATATATATATATGTCCTGTGTAAAAAATACCCACCAATGCAGTGAATACTGCCCTGGTGATAAGATTAGGTGCTGTTCTTCATGAATGCTCATCCAGCAGCTGCAGAAGAGGAATGTCTTATTCTGAATATGTTTGGAGTATAGATGTCTAGACGTGGAAAGTCTATAACCCTGAACCCCTCAGTAAGGAAGACAGTTGTGTGGTCCCAGCATCTGTGTAGTTCTTAAATTCACAGGAAGATTTTGATGAGTTTGCATGACAACTGTTGAATTCTTTGCTGTCCCCTGTGGTGCATTTGATGCTGGGTAAGGGGTAATGGCTTCTTTTCTAGAACAATGACCTCTAAACATTCAATTTTAACATATAAATAAGCTAAGTATATGTTCTTCCCACTGGGCCATACCACCAGCCCTTTCAAATATTTAAGATGGTGAACCAAATAAGAAATAATCTTAGGCTGGAGAGATGGTTAAGAGCATTGACTGTTCTTCCAGAGGTCCTGAGTTCAATTCCCAGCAACAACATGGTGGCTCACAACCATCTGTAATGGGATCCGATGCCCTCTTCTGGTGTGTCTGAAGACAGCAACATGTACTCAATAAACATGAAATAAATAAATCTTAAAAAAGAAATAATCTTATATCATGATTTAATGCACATATTCACATACATGTTCATACATAAGAAATAGAAAAAGATCTCACAAACCATATTTACATTTATTGTATGTGATACATTATATTTTCTATCATATTTTGATAACTTCAATGTAATTGATTTCACTTAGTAATAGGTTGTGATCCAGTGTTTAAGAAATCCAGTGTTTATGAAGAACCAGAAGAGGTGGCACATATGTGGAATCTTGGCATTTTACAAGTGGGAGGAAGGGGATCAAGAATTCAAGTTCATCCTCTGCTAGTTTGAGGACAGCCTGGGCTACATGAAATGCTGTCTTAAAGAACAAACAGCAAATATATATATGTATATATATATATATATATATGCGCACACACACACACACACACATGGCATGGCTGGGGAAGTATCTCAGTTGATAAAATGTTTCCATGCAAACATGAGGTCTGATTTTGATACCCAGAACCCACATACAAGTACCCAGGCTCCTGGATTGGAGAAACGGTTTATTAGTTAAGAGAGCTTGCTGCTCTTTCAGAGGACCCACAGTCAATTGGCTCACACTCACATATAACCCCAGCTCTAAGGGATCTCTCTCACAGGATGGTATCTCACACATGTGACATTCAGTCACACAGACACACAGACACATGTAAATAAAAATAGTAAAAGAGTAAACCTTAAAAAATAATCCAGGCATGATGACAGCTTGCCGACCAGCGAGTCTAGCTTACTAGATGACCTGCAGAACGATGAGCAGCATTGTCTGAAAAAAAACCAAGATAGATGGCTCTCAATAAAAGTTGACCTCTGGCCTCCACACATGTGTACCCACACATATGCACCCAAATGAGCATGCATGGCCCAGCCGCATTTTGTGTCTATGTAAATATTTTTCTAATAAAATGTCATACTTGGGATCTTATAACCACAGAGGTTGAGCAATGCTGTGCACTGGGGAAAGATCGGCTGAAGGAGGGGCTAGGGAACAAATATACCTCATGTTTTAAGAGCTAGGAAGGAAATGTTAAATGAAGAGTCATTCTAGGAGATGAAGGTCAAGAGTCCCCTAGAGGGTGTGAGATGCTGGACTGGCCAGAGAGCATCAGGGTTTCGTAGAGGGTGGAGGAGCCTGAGCTAAGTTTCTTCTTTTTACTTGGAAAGTTTTAGGATGCCTATAGTGGGGTAGGCAACTTGATTCTGGTCTTAATCACTCATAGCTAGGGAGAAGTTTTAGGATGTTCTCAGTTGGATTCCTTGGGAGAAAATAGATTTCCTGGATGTTCTTGGTGAGAACGAATGTGTCTCTTTTGGGTTGGGATAAAATTGCGGAGATATAATTGTGCAAAACTATCAATAAGTTTTTAATTAAAAACCTAATTGTGATTTTTTTCCTATCTCCTATGCTGAACAGTAAGATGATCTTAGGAAATGCCCATGACAATTCTGAAGAACTTGAAAGAGCCAGAGAAGTGAAGGAAAAAGATGCTGCACTGTAAGTTTCTTCCGAGAGTCGGAATGGGATGCCATATTCTTTTGTCCCTCTCGGTTGCCACATGCCTGTCTTACCAATGGGGGTTTCACTGGGAATCCTGAGGAAGGGATGGGGTATGGGCTCACCTTTAACACATCCATCCATTCTACTGTTTTTGTATGTGGGACTCTTTACAAAATAATATGCTTTCTTCGAATACCACTGTGGATGGGCCAGCAGCCTTCAGTCTTAAATAACATATCTGATTCTGTCATGTATCAGATGCCGTGGGAGCATGATAACCTTCCCCTTGGGACCTCAGGGTCTGCTTTGATGACCTGGGGATGACTATTTATCAGAGTCTATAAATAAAAGTCTTCAGATCTTGGTGTGACATTCCCCTCAGATCCTTGACTTACAGATAACATCCTGCTGTTTGTAAACTCTACCCCTGACCAATTTCACCTCACCTGCTCCTGACTGGCTTCAGACAGGGGCTTCACTGTTGCTGTGAAAAGACCTGGAATATTTGCCATTGCTCAGGGGCATTGTCACATGGGCACTCCTTTGTAGTCCAATCACAACGAACTATAGAAATGATCCCTGAAAGTATAGTCCTGTAGTCCAATCACAAACAGAGCAGAGATCTGTGGCCAGTGGTGAGCGACGCGTAGCTAGTACAATAGCTATCAAATAAATGAACAAGCAAGTGAATCACTTTGTGCCTCACCTCCAACCCCTGGGGATACAGTGCCCTGAAAGTCTGCAGGCTATGGTCCAGAATGTGTTTATTTTCTTCTCAAGTTGCCAGAGAGATGAGTTTCTGTGCCTGAGTGCTGTGTTCATTCTAAGGCCTCTATACTGCCCCTTCTGCTCTCTCCTCTTGTCCCTGTGTCTATGCTATGAACACAGAGGATAGCCCCGTGCAGGTTATAGGACATAGCTGAGTATTTCTGGGATAGGGACAGACACTGCTGTGAATAAAACATAATGACCAAGTGTCACCTTAATACACCTAGATTTAAAAGGATGCTGTTTAAAAACAGAGGATTTAAAGTTACCTCAGGAAGCTTCCCTTTCTCCGCTGAATCACAGGCTTGCCCTGTGACTGTTCAGGCTCATAGGGAGGAAAGGGGCAAAGTGTGTAGAGGGAGGCTCAGAAACTGAAGCCCTGAGCTCCTTCTTGCAAAGTGAGACTGCACTGCTGTCCAAGTCAAGGACCTGTTAATTTTGCATCTCAAGTGGATGAACTGGTAGTTAGCCCTGGGGGTCGGAAAGATAAGCCTCACCAGTTGAACACTGGATTCCTTTTATTCCCATAGGAGCTGTGTGGAGAATATCCAAATTCCACAGTGCTTCTGTTGCTGTATCTGTACAGTTGTCATGTAGTTTAGCTATGTTCTAGACTAAATAATTCTCTGGGAGGAATTCTTAATGTTTTCCAAATTATAAATTTAGCATATCAAATGATTGGTTTTTTTGCAGCCCAGTCAGAGGTTGGGGGTTGTGTGTCCATGCTGTTTCTCATGAATGATTTACGTAAGGAGCCACGTTCAGTATACAGTGAGTCACGCACAGGATCCTGTCCATGGACATTGAATAAATAACCAAGCAAAATAGCACTTCCTTTTAAGGTGTGAAGGACCAAAGCCAGCTTGATAGCAGGACTTTAACAAGGCTTCAACTTATTTTGGAACATTTTATAGATAAGGGTGGCAAGTAGATTTATGTTTACAAATTTATTTTTCTTTAGTTTTGTAGAAATTAAGAAACCAGTTTGTTTTTTAATCCTTTTGGCCTTAAACCAAAAGATAAGTAAATGTAACTTCAAAGTTAGTGAATAAAGAAAGAAAAAACTATAGAAAGTTCCCACAGCAAATTCTTATTTAATGAGTAGGCTTATATTTAGAATCTTAAAACCCAGAGAGCCAAGCATGGTTGGTGGCTCATCCTTGTAATCCCAGAATTTGGGAGGTAGAAGGAGGAGGGTTAGAAATGCAAAGTCATCCTCAGTAAGTAGTGAGTTTGAGACCATCCTGGGCTACATGACATTCTGTTTCAAAAAAAGTCAAAATTAATAAATGTTGATTAGAGTAGGAAATTGAATCAGCATGGACTTGTTGGGGACACATTTGTCTCGTGGTAGTGGAAATGGTACTGCAACAAGCTAGTTAGTTATTGCCTCTTGTAAAGCAAAGGTTGGATTTGTGTGCATCCCAGGTGCTGGTGTTCTAGAGCTTGAGGCTCTTCAGCAAAGGTCAAACCAAGCTCCTCTGCCCAGCGCATCCAGCCTTTCCCATTGCAAACATGATTTTGTCATTGCAGAAACCCCTCAGAGTATGTTAAGTCAGTTCTCTTCTGCATTGGGCCACATTTGTAGTCATCCTTGGACTACATGTAGAACATGGGCCATAGATTGGACAATACTTGTGGCCCATTTTATCACTATTTCAGAAAAATTATAACTATGCCAGAAAGGCTTTTGAAATTCATAGTTTTGTCTTGTCTATATTCCTGATTGTGTAGTGTAAGTTTCTCCCTTCAAGTGTAGTCACTGAATGAATTCTTCATGCTTTTTAAGTGATTAGCCACTCTTTTTGGTCTTTTTATTGTTCCACCTACTCTCATGTTCTTTTCTTCTTAATCTATTTTAAACTTCCAATTTTTAACAACTTAATCTTCACCTCCAATACTGATGTCAGAATTAGTCCCGTCTCCATCTGGGCTTTCTGAGTTGCAAGGACTTGCTTACTCCTTTATTACATTTGAGACCTGTGAACACAGAGATCATATTCTTGTTATTCAGTAAACTTGATAACAGATATGTTCTCTACCTCAGGATAAGAAGGGGGAAAAGGATACCTAATTACCCACCTGTTCTAAAGCTTTCCCTGACTTCTAGAAGCATTACTAAGATGTCATGAAGACAGATAAAGAGAGCATTGGCCTCCCCCACCCCAGCACATAAAGCTTTTTCTGTAATGGGCTCCTTCGCACTCTCAAGGTGCTTTGTAGAATGTCCATAACAGAGGGTTTTGTGGTAATTATCCCTTCTGGCCCAGAGGTATTTCTAAGACTGCATCTTTATGCTTATAGATGTCTAGAATTTCTGCTTCAAAATGATGCAAACCCATCCATCCGGGACAAAGAAGGCTACAATAGCATCCACTATGCTGCTGCCTATGGCCACAGGCAGTGTCTAGAACTGGTGAGTTGTCTTGTCTGTTCTTTTTTTTTTTCTCACACAATACTGGCCCCAAACTCTCAGCAGCCTCCCTTACCACCTAGTTTAGTCACCACTAGAAATTTCTGGGAAGATATTTTCTGCTAAGTGAAAAAACTTGATAGACCTTATGGGATATAGATTTCTTTGCTCCTGTCCTCATCTGACTGGTGGTGGACTCATCTGCAGTAATTGTGATAGGGATATAAGATCTGTGTGTACACATGGCTTTTGTTTTAAAGATAATTAGGATGTGTCAATAAAGCTAAGTAGCTCTTTCCAGAAAGGAACTTAGCACTGCAGTACTTACAAACAGTACTGTAACTTAGTACTTGACTTGTTCAGTCATTAGGGACAAAGGTTCATTTGGGCCAGTCCTGTGTCTGGAGTGGAAAGAAAGACGGGCAAGGAACAAGAACAGAATTTGAACTTAAAGGAAAAATCAAACAATTAAGAGATACCTGGGCTGTGTGTATGTGTGTTGAAATCTGAATTCTTCTCTTGGTGATGCTTAGAAAACCGCAAATTCAAGTGCCCACACTGACTTGAAGTCTGGAGGGGAAGTGAGCTCATATGTAAGACAGTCAGGCATGATGGCGAATACAGCAAATAGAGAGCCCTGCTTTACGTAAGGGAGACACAGCCTGTTGGAAGGTCAGGAAGGAAAAGGTTGCTAGAAATAGTGTGTGTGTGTGTGTGTGTGTGTGTGTGTGTGCCCATGCATGTGTCACAGCACATATGAAGAACAGAGGACAACTTTATGGAGCCAGATGGCTCTAACTTTATTTACATGAGTTCAAACTGAAATCAGATGACCAGGTTGATCAGCAAGTACTTTACCCACTGAGCCATATAGCCAGACCTAAAATCTGACTTCTTAATGTAAGATAATCTGTTTTGAAATCTTCCTGGAGAGGCTGAGGGGAAAGTTCATTCGTAGCTATCCAGCTATAGGTCACAATTTGCTACTTTCTTGACACCATGCTTGGTCCAGCTTCAACAGGATATATGAATGTTCAAACTCACTGTATGGGCTGATGACAAATGACATTTTTCTTTAGCACCCTTGAATGTGTTTATATGTCTGTGTGTTGGTTTGAATGAAAATGGTCCCAAAGCCCCAAAGGCACAGGCTTTATTTGGAGGCGTGGCCTTGTTGGTGTAGATCAAGCTTTGTTGGAGGAACTGTGTCTCTGGGGGATGGATTATGAGGTCTCAAATGCTCAAGCCAGGCCCAGTGTCTTACTTTTTTTCCTGTTGCCTGTTTATCTGGATGTAGAACTCTCTGCTACCTCTCTAGCACCATGTCTGTCTGTGTGCTGCCATGGTTCCCTCCATGATGGTAAAGGACTAAACCTCTGAACTGTAAGCCAACCTCAATGAAAAGTTTCCTTATAAGAGTTGTCATGGCCATGGTGTCTCTTCACAGCAATGTAAACCCTAACTAAGACAGCCTGTAAATTCAACATTTGGAATGCTGAAGCAAAGGGATTTCAAGTTTGAGGCCAGCCTGGGCTTATAATATTACCTGTTTAAGAACTAAAGAAGTTTTATCTGGTGTGATGGCACATACCTTTAATTAAGTAGTACTTGGGAGGCAGAGACAGGTGGGCTCTGAGTTCAAGGCCAGCCTAGTCAATATATCCAATTCCAGTCTAGCAAGGGGTACATAGTAAAATCCTATCTCAACCTACTAATCAATCAACCCTACTTTCATTTATTTTTTTCCTACTACTTTCCTGTGTCATTCTTCTGAAGAACCACAAAATATCTACTGTCTGTGGTTTACTATGAAAGACGTGATGAGGTAGGGAGGCAGCAAGCCAGGGTCCCAGTGTCTACAGAACTATGTGGAGAACTAACTATCCTTTAGTTGCTTCCACCTAGGATCAGCATTATAATTCTTTTACTATGGAACACAGGAAAATCCATAAAAAGTTACCCAGCTTGGAAACAAAAATGGGGTTATTCTTATATCTTTTTTCATTGTGTGGGAGGTGAATTGTATTTACTATCACTGATCTTGAAGAATTTGATATTATCTTTTTCTGAGGGCCTAGTGAATACAGACAAGTTCCTTGTTTGATGTTGGGAATAGGTAGCAGTTTTCTGTTTTGTTTTGTTTCATTTCATTTTATTGTTTTAGTTGTTTGTTTTCTTCTGCTAGTTCCTCTTCAGTTACTTTGGCTGCATATGTAATAAGTCACCCCAAACGTTAGTGGCTGAAAACAGCAGTAATGATGTGCTCTGTCTCATAGTTTCTGTGAGCTGGGGACTTCTGGAATGGCTAAGCTGTGTAGTTCTAGGCAAAGATATCTGAAGAGGCAAATGGTGGGCTAGCACAAGGGCTGTTCTTTCCATGGCATCATGGGCTATAAACAGATAACCTTCCTAAGATGATGTTAGCTCTGTGTGTTCTTGTGTATCTTTCCCTTCTCAACCTTCCCCTTTCTTCCCCTGTACCTCTCCCCATTATCTATCTCCTCTTCCCAAATGGACCTCTTTATAATTTTGTCATTTAGCCAGGTTAGCCTCACACTCAATCCTCCTGCTTCTACCTTTTCAGTTCTGGGATTATAGCTGTACCCCACTATTCTCTTGTTTTTTCCATGTTGTCCTAGTGTAGTTTGATATCTTACGTGGTGACTCAAGATCAATCAAAGGGGGAAAGAGAAAGGAGAAAGGCTGTGGTCTCGCTTTGAAAACTACTTGTAGTTTCTTCTGTATGTCCGTTTCTTGAGGTGGTCATAAAATATAAAGAGGGAAGAGAATAGCATAAAGTGCTAGTTCCCTCCACTGCAGATGTAGGAAGCCAGTGATTTCAGGACTCCTGAGTGCTGGCTGTGATATAGAACCCCAAATGGCCAAGGAGCAGTCACTAATCATGCAGGTGAACAAACGAGTCATAAAGGCATTAACTAGTTTATCCAAGGGTAGGGTGCTGGCCTTTGGAAGGATGAGGACTAGTAGTGGGACATTTTATGCGTTCTGATTTTAAAGGAAGTGGTTATTCAGCAAACCACCACTTTCCGTTACAGATTAACGGAAGCCTTTCAAACAGAGCTGATGCTTGGTAGGAACTGGTTTTTAAAGGGCAATATCATCTTTGGCTCTTAACTGCAGCTTTGCAGTGGTACTTGCTCTAGACCTATAAGAAGTATAAGTTTGTGGTTAGACTTTGTATACACACACTTCCTATAACGTGTGCACAAATATAAATGTGTGTTGTCATCACTGAGACAGTGAGGAGAGAGTGAGGGCTTACTGTTGTAATTACCCATTATGAGCCTGTCTTCTGAAATCTACTTAAGACACAGCTGTCTTTAATTGCTTTTCTCCCAGAAAACCATATGCTATAGTTAGATTTATGAACTTTTATTACAAAATTTGTTGTTAAACTCTTAATACTGCATGCTGCTCTATGGAACTGTAGTGAGCTAAAGGAGCTACCTTCAGTCCTGTACTGTACAGAGCATAATTTTCTGGTGACACCTTCTTTTTTTTAATTTTCTTTTTTTTATTGGATATTTTATTTATTTACATTTCAGATGTCATCCCCTTTCCCCCATCCCTCCCGCAGAAACCTCCTATCTTATCCCCCCTCCTCCTTCTTGCGTTTTTTCCTTTATTAGTATTTTAACTTAGCATACAAAGTACTGGGTTTTATTACAGCATCCTCATACATGTGTCATTAGAGTTCTGATTTGTTTCCCTCGGCCTCTTCTTCCAGCTAGTTTCCTCATCTGATTTCCTGTCACATATATTCTATCACTCTCCTTCCTCATCCTTTTTTTTTAAATTAGTAACTTTTTAAAAATGTTAATCAAAGGCTTTGTAAGTTTGGTAATGCTCAATAACAAGATGCCCATACAATCAGAAGTGTAACCCAATACCCAACCTAGACATACCAACTATCTTTGACTGGCAGAGACACTCGAACATCCATCTGCATGTCCCCCCCACTCGTCTCCTAGCTCCTCCTCTCATTCTCCTCCTCCTCTCCTTACTCCTCCTCCTCCTCTCCTTACTCCTCCTCCTCCTCTCCTTACTCCTCCCACCTTAGCTCCTCCTACATATCACCCTTCCTGTTAAAATAAAACTTTTCTCTTAAAATACAATTAGAGCATAACTATACCAATTTGTATCAGTAAGGTACAAGATAGACCTAATACCCAGTCCAACATGTTGTTGACTTACCAGAACCTCTGTCATCTCTCCTAACTAAAAGACTTTGTTCTGAATCTGGTTTTTTTCTTGGCTTTAGAATGAATGTCAGCTGGAAATCATCCTCTGAAATCTTTTCTCTAAAAGTAAATAGCCAGGATTGGCTATGAGACTATAAGTCTTCAACCCCATCAGAAATCCAGAATGACTGAATTAACTGAAATTATGGGAAGCACAAAGCATAGCTTCTAAAACTTAGCCAATTTATAAAGACCACTGAACACCTGGACAGTCCCTATACTACAAAATGTTGGAGCATCCGATCTTCAGCCTTCTGGCCCAGGATCATCTGACAGACCTAGTGATGCAGAATTATTAAGGGTTGATTACTCTGTCTTCGCAGATATAATCAGTCGACTATTCCACAAGTGTGTCCTTTTCTGGACAGTAATTTTTCTGTAGATGAAAAGAGGCAACTCTTGACTAGTGGCTGTCTCACCACAACTGGAGTAATGCGAAAGATGCCCAATTTCTTCTTAGAATCCAAGACAGGGAAGCTGTCAGGAGCAGACAGGTCTCTAATCAAAATGAACATTAATACAGAAATGTTTGTAACATCAATTCTCTGGACTTCTGACGTTTTGAAAACCAACTATCCATGTAAGGCAATCTGGACTGTTGTCTGTTAACTCCTCTCAGCTATTTCTAAATAAAATATAGAAAACACCTTAACAATAAACTCAGAGCCATGAATATGCTGTAGGCCCTTAACTCACAGTCTAACCATCTTGAATCAGTTAAAGGAGTTAAAGAAGGACTGG